AAGACATGAAATAACTGAAGTGTCCATCAACAGATGAATGGATATCAAGAATGTGGTATATATTCACAATGAAATACTATTTCACCATAAAAAGAAGGAAATTCTGTCATTTGTGGCAACATAAATGAGCTTAAATGACATTATGTTAAGAGAAATAAGCCAGGCACAGAAAGATAAATATCACATGTTCTCACTGATATATGAAAGGTAAAAAAATTGGCCAGGCACGGTGGCTCACACCTGTAATCCCAGCACTTTGGGAGGCCGAGGTGAACAAATCACCTGAGGTCGGGAGTTTGAGACCCGCCTGACCAACATGGAGAAACCCTGTCTCTACTAAAAATACAAAATTAGCTGGTCGTGGTGGCGCATTCCTATAATCCCAGCTACTTGGGAGGCTGAGGCAGCAGAATCACTTGAATCCGGGAGGCGGAGGTTGCGGTGAGCCGAGATCGTGCCATTGCACTCCAGCCTGGGCAACAAGAGTGAAACTCCATCTCCAAAACAACAACAACAACAACAACAACAACAAAGTTGATCTCATAATAGTAGAGAGTAGAATAGTAGTTTCTAGAGGTGAGGTGGAGAGCAAGGTATAGCCAAAGAGTTGTTCACAGATAAACAGATAGGAGAGATAAGTTCTAGTGTTCTATAGCATTATATAGTGACTATAATAGCAGCAATTTATTGTGTATTTCCAAATAGCTAGGAGTGGATTTTGAATATTCCCAATACAAAGAAATCCTAAATGTTTAAGGAAACGAATATGCTAAATACCCTGATATGATCATTAGACATTGTATACATGTGTCAAAATAACACACTGTACCCCATAAATAGGTACAATTATTATGTGTCTATTAAAAATGATAATAAAAGCAAAAATAAACCTGGCAGTGAGTTTTTATTTTCTACTCATATCCCCTGTACTGAACTCAAAGGGAGTATAAATCTAGGAACTGCTTACCAAGCATAGACAAAAAGAATTAAAAGAGAAGTCTTCTTCCGTGACAAACAATGGAGACCTCATGGTGGCAGAGGGTTGGGGTAGAAAAGTTTGACAATGGGTAGAATGAAAGAATTTTGGGGGGAATGATGGAACTGTTCTAATCAATTTTAGTTGTGGTTATAAGACTGCATATTTGACAAAACATAAAGAACTGAAAAAAGAAAACAAAACATAGATTTTGTTCTATGCAATTTCAACAAAAAATTTAATATTATAAAAAACTAACAAATATAATGTATACTGGTTACATAATATTCTATACTAAGGGAGTATCAACACTTAAAAAACAATTTGCCTATTATTTTTCCCTTTCTTCTCAAGAGTTCAAATGTACAAGTTTAAGAGAGAGACAAAAGAGGAAAACGTACAAGAAGTTTAAGGAGACAAAAGGGGAAAAATCAAAGGCAGCAGCAGCAGAAAGCAACAAGAATTAAGGAGACAGGTGAGTCGCTGTCTACAATATGGGAGAGAGAACATTTTATGTCCAGGCATGTTACCTGCCAGCTACAACAAAACCAACAAAAAGTCTTCAGAAGAGTCACAATAATGTATTATATAAAATATCCACTTTAAAAAAAAATTATTATACCTGCAAAAAAAAAAAAAAACCAAAAGAATGACACCTAGTAAGTAAAAAGCAGAGTCAAGATAAATGGCTTCCAATGTGGTACAGTTACTGAATTTAGACTATAAATACTTCAGTAAAGTTATTATAAAGATGTTGACCAGGCGTGGTGGCTTACGCCTGTAATACCAGCACTTTGGGAGGCTGAGGCGGACAGATCACCTGAGGTGGAAAGATCACCTGAGGTCAGGTGTTCGAGGTCAGCCTGGCCAATATGGTGAAACCTTGTCTCTACTAAAAATACAAAAAATTAGCTGGGCATGGTAGCACACCTGTAATCTCAGCTACTCAAGAGACTGACGAAATTGCTTGAACCTGGGAGGTGGAGGTTGTAGTGAGCCGAGATCATGCCTCTGCACTCCAGCCTAGATGACAGAGTGAGATTCCGTCTCAAAAAAAAAAAAATGTTCAAAGAATTACAGGAAAAAACTGATCTTAATAGGCAAATGGATAAAGAACTACAAAGAGATTGAAATGAAGACTACAAAACACACACATATAATTTGTCATGACTACATGATATTCCACGGTAAAAAAAGGACTGACTTTTTGAAAATAACTGTTCTCTATAAATCCTCTAAAGAACTGACTCTGACACATGCCTGGATATTGTAGAGGTAACATAACAAAGTTTTCCTCTAGTTAGGCATATCATTCAATGTAATATTTAGTGGAATCTGGACAGGATGAATCTCACATATAGGCATCAAAACTATCATTCAAATATTAAATGGGTAAGGAGAGGTAAGCATATGTTGTAATAAGAGGATCTCTCATTATAAGTAAAGGCACATACTATTTCTTGTTTATACTAGTGTAGCAGTCATAAAATAATATTCCAACTTCAATATTTAAAATAGAATATAAAAGTATGTACCCATAATTCAAAAGGGGTTTATAACCCACTAAGATACATTTTCAAACAGATACTGCAATAGAAAATACTATGGACTTCACTGAAAAAAACACTAGCACTGACTAGCATATTAGAGATGGCAGAAAAAGTAGTAAACTTAAAGGTAAAGCAATAGGAATTTAAAAAGTCAAATAAAACAAAACAACAGAATAAAAAGGGGCAGAAAAAGTTTAGAGAAACACTAAAGGCCCTGAGAGCCTTGTGAAATAATGTCAAATGGTAAAACTTATGGCTGAAAACTTCCACAAATTGATACCCAGTGTTCAAAAAGAAAAATAATGATTTAAAAAATCAGTCCTAGAGATAAAACTACCCAAAGCAAAAGATAACGAAAAAATCTTGAGAGCAGCCAGAAAAAAACATGTTACATACAGGGGAACAAATGAATAACAGTTAACTTGTCAGAAACTAATGTAGGTCAGAAAATATTAGAATGAAATATTCAACGAGCTAAAAGGAAAAGATTATCGACATAGAATTCCATGCAGGGAAGAACATACTTAAAGAATAAAGATAAAGATATGTTCGGATGAAAGAAACGTAAGAGACTTCATCATCAGCACAGCTGTACCAAAAGAAAAGTTACAAGGCTTCTTCAAGATGAAGGAAAAGACTGAAATGGCAACTACAATCTGTGAGAAGGAATAATGAGCATGGGAAATGGTAGATATGTGGGTAAATACAAAATAGCCCATATGCTGCTTCCTTTTTTGTCTACATTCCTTAAAAGCATTTGACTTTAAAAGAAAAGTTATAACATTGTAATATAAAAATGGTAACATACATAGATTTAATATGAATAACAATACCACTAAAGAATAAATATCTGGTGTCCTTGTAAGACAGGAGGACAGGTACAGAAGGAGAGAAGGCTATAGAAAGATAGAGAAAAAGAACAGTCAACTTAATATTCTACATTCAGTACTTTAAAACTGTTGTGCCATTTCATTCTAGCCTGCCTGTTTTCTGATAAGAATTCCACTGTCTTTCAAATCATCCTTCCCCTATGATAATAAGCCTGTTAGGCTTTAAGATTTGTATTATGTTCTTATCGTCCAGCAGTTTGAACATGGATTTCTTTTAATTTGTTCTAAACGGAGTTGGCTCATCTTGAATCTGTAGATGTATGCATTTCATTAAACTTTTGAATGTTTTATATAATTATAAAATTATATAATTATAGAAAATATCCATTAACAATAGCAATGAAGAAGATGAAATAGTTAAAAAAACAAACTTAACAATAAATGTGTGAAGCTAAGAGAATAAAAACATTAAAACACAACTGAAAGACACAAAAGTAGTCTCAAACAAATGTAGATATCCCCTATTCATAGAATGTTTCAAGATTTTAAAGATGCAGTTCTCCTTAACTTATAAAATAATGTAATCTCAATAAACATACCAATGAAAATTTTTATTAGCTAGACAAGTTGCTACTAATATTCATGACGAGCAATAAATATACATGAATAGCTGGGAACATACTGAAAAAAAAGAAAACCTACAAGTAAGTTTAGCCCTAATAATCATTAAAATACACTATAAAACCTGTAATAAACAATGCCATACTAGGATATACATATACTAAACCATTAGTATAGCATGTACAATGAGAAACAGATACCTATATATATATAAATTTAGTATATTATAAAGAAGGCATTTCAAATCACTAAGGAAAAGATAAATTTTTAAATACACAGTGATGGTAAAACTGAGTTCCCATTTGAAAAAGGATAAAATTAGATCCACATCTCACAAAATAACAGGAATAAACAACAACTACATGAATGAGCTAAATGTAAAAATAAAATCATGCAAGGATTAGAAGGCAACATGAGTGAATTCCTCATGTTGCCTTCTAATGGTACAGGCATACCTCAGAGATACCGTAAATTCAGTTACAGACCACTGTAATAAAGTGAGTCAAATTTTTTTTAAATTTTTTAACTTTTAATTTTTGTGGGTACAGAGTAGGCATACAGTCAAATTATGAGGTTACTCAGTGCATATAAAAACTATGTTTACACTATACTATAGCCTATGAAACTGTCAACTGGCATTATCTAAAAAATAATGTACATACCTTAATTTAAAAATAATTTATTGTTACAAAATGCTAACAACCATCTGAGCCTTCAGTGAGTCAAAACTTTTTGCTGTCATGATGACGGCTGCTGACTGCCCAGGGGAACAAGAGTTTGTTTTAGATGATGGAAATTTTCGATATCATGATTGTGTTATAAGTTTATATTATAATATTCCATTGCTGAGGCTCAGCAAATTATGCATTCAACCAGTAAATTTTGTTATATATAAATTATACTTCAATAATGCTAACAAAAAAGAATTCCAGCTGTAAATAAAATATTTTTAAAGTGTTGGGTTACAATCCTATTAAAAGAACACAGAGAAGAGATACCGAATCAAATTATATATGTTCTTACCAGATTAATTAACTGAGTGTGTACCACATCTTCTACCAAAACTGCTGTTTCATGAAGAGGCCTTCTAGCATCACCTAAAGAATACCTGCAAAATAATTTTAAACACACCAATATTAAGGACTATAAAACTAAGAATGGCAAAAAGTGAAAGATATTTATTACATGAATCAGTTTAATAAGAAGAATATAAATTGTTTGCTCAAATGTCTGAATGGGTGTGCAATTTTCTCTAGACAAAGAATATGAAACCTTGGCCAGGCATGGTGGCTCACACCTTTAATCCCAGCACTTTGGGAGGCCAGAGCGGGAGGATCACTTGAGCCCAAGAGTTGGTTACTAGCCTGCATAACATGGTGAAACTCCGCCTCTACAATAAATACAAAAATTAGCCAGAAGCAGTGGCAGGTGCCTGTAGTCCCAGCTACTTGGGAGGTTGAGGCGGGAGGATGGCTTGAGCCCAGGCGGCAGAAGTTGTAGTAAGCCAAGGTCATGCCACTGTACTCCATCATGGGCCATAGTCAGACCCTGCTTAAAAAGAAAAAAAAAGAAAAAAAAGAAAAGAAAGTCTTTCCTACACAAGTTGCAACTTCAAAAGAAAAGTGCAGTGTTATCTATGCTATTTCTGGATTTGTACAGTTTTTTTTTTTTTTTTTTTTTTTAAGACAGAGTCTCACCCCGTTGCCCAGGCTGGAGTGCAGTGGCACGATCTCGGCTCACTGCAACCTTTGCCTCCCAGGTTCAAGCAATTCTCCTACCACGGCCTTTTGAGTAGCTGAGACTACAGACTCGTGCCACCACGCTTGGCTACTTTTTTATTTTTAGTAGATACGGGGTTTCACCATGTCGGCCAGGCTGGTCTTGAACTCCTGACCTCAGGTGATCCACCCACCTCGGCCTCCCAAAGTCCTGGGATTACAGGCGTGAGTCACCGTGCCCGGCTCGTACAGTATTTTTTAAGGAGAATTTATTTTTTCAAAATGCAAAATACTAACAACTACTTCACAACACTGGCAACCAGTAAATCATGTAATCACATCCCAATTACCAATACAAGAGCTAGTAAGAGCCACATAGAAAGGTATAAAAGTGTATGATGTAATCAGCTTTGAAAATTGATAAGAAAAATTTATGTAAATACCATTGAATATGACTTGGAATCATATAAAAGCAGGTTTTCAAGAATAGATTTAAAAGGCTGGCCTTAAAAGTCCTTTTCTTAAAACTTGAAAGTAGACTGGATGTGCAAAGAATACCTTCTTGGTAAAGAACACTTCAAAATGCATCATAATATATTAAAAATTTATATTTAGAGTATGCTTCAACCAGCAATAGGGAAGACAAAACCAAAGTCAGACAAGATGAAAAAACAGTTCTATAATAGAGCACTGAACCTTCAAAATTTATTCTGAAGGTATCTACCTAATCACAGTAACCTACAGTCTATATTGAACTAGTACAGAATTCAAGGTATAGGAAGAACGTGGGGACCACAAGAAAGGCAGGAAATCAGTTTGAGACTCCAATATAACATCGAGAAACCTAACATCCAGTGACGGTGTCACCCTCAATGTGTGAACTAGGAAAATACCCATTCCAGAGAATGCACTTTGCCTACCTCACCCGAAGCTTTGAGTGGCAGAGGAAAAAATATTCCCTAGGAATTGTTAACCATAAATTCACTTCCATGGTGCCAGAGTATCTGCTGGCCATATAGTCTAAAAAAAGGTCGAGCATTAATTTAAAGTGATTTATATTGATGGTGCCCAAAGGTACCTTGTAGAAACAAATGCAACTCATTTCTTGAAGAACGTATTTCAAACAAATAACTGAAAGAACTCCCATGGATGACATATCAAGGACCATAAATTCAAAATCAAAATTCACTACGTGTACCAGGAATCAAGTCATCATGAATGACAGGGAGCAGGACCAACAAAATGCAGAATCAGACCTACAGCCTACACCTACCTGAATAAATAAGTATCTATTAACTAGAGTAATTCAGGTTTTAAGAGAGAAATGAGAAGTATATGTAGGACAACAAAAACCTTACCAAATGCTTAGTCATTTTTGAAAAAGCACTAAACAGAAATAGAAATGAAAAACATAATTATAGCATTTAAAAAGTTAATGCAGAAAAGTTATCAATCTGATAAAGACCATACATGAAAAACTCACAGGTACCATCCGACTTAATGGTGAAACACTAAAAACTTTTCCCCTAAGATGAGCATTAACACAATGTCCAATTTTGTCACTTCTATTCAACACAATACTGTAAATTTCAGTGAAAGCAATTAAGTAAGAAAAAGAAATAGGCCGGGCGCAGTGGCTCACACCTGTAATCCTAGCACTTTGGGAGGCCGAGGCTGGCGGATTGCATGAGTTCAGGAGTTCAAGACCAGCCTGGGCAACACAGTGAAACTCTGTTTCTACTAAAATACAAAAGAAATTAGCCGGGCATGATGGAGTGCACCTGTAGTCAAGGACTGTAATTGTCATGATTAGTTCCTCCTTGTTTTGATATGTGTGTGTATATGTGCATGCATGTGCGTGTATCTTATATGTATGTGTGTATCTCCTTTACAAAATTCTACTGATTGTATTTTTTTTCTGGAGAACTTTGACTAACATAGCCAGGAAATGAAGAGCTCAATATTGAATAAATGTATTAATATAACTACATCACTTTAGAAAATGAAAAAAAAAACCCTACATAATCATTTCAATAGATGTAAGAAAACCACTCAACAAAATCCAGCAACCACTCATGACAGGAAACCACATACACAGAAGAATTTAAAGCCTTTAAGAACTAGATCAACATAAGGATGGCTATTATCACCACTTTCAGTCAATATTTAAGATTATAGTCAGGACAATAAAACAAGACTAAAACTATAAAAGTACTGGAAAAGAGAAAACTACACTGTCCCTATATGCAGATAATATGAGTATCTACACAGAAAACCAAAAATTAAGAAAAAAATTATTTGAATTAATAAGTTAGCAAGTTTTCTGGCTATAAGATCAATCTACAAAAAGCCATCATTAACATAAAGGTAGAAGATGCAATTAAAAAGAAATATAAATTGGTACTAAACATCATATGAGATGGTAAAGAGACAGGAATAGTCAAAACACTTTTAAAGTACAAGATGGGAGAGTATTTTCTACAGGACTTAACATAAAGCTACAATCATTAAGACAGTATGTTATTTGGTGCAAACAACCAATAGAACAAAAAGAGAATAGAAAGTCCACAATAAAAAGCAAACTCCACAAACGCAAAAATCCTTTGTTGTATTCACTGATACACGCATTATTTCTTTGGAATACCTGAACAAGGTTTTCCTTCCCTTATTCTAAGTTACTTCAAATGTCACTGTTAAAAAAAAAAGTGTAAAGTTATCAAAGCTAAATAACTGGAAATACTTCTTGTATCAATAAAATACACAAATTGCCTAAGCTTTTATGAGAAAGTTAGACCTTTGTACTAAAAACAGTTTTTATTAGCATACACATGTAAAGTTAAGTACCGAAATCAGCTACAACGACTGGTATGAGGTATATCATTTGATGAGTATATTATTTTAATTTTCAGGGTTATTGGTACTTCAGTTTTTCTCCCAAAGCTTTTATAAATAACTTCTGCCATTGTTCCAGTGGTTTTCAGAAAACAGAAATGAAAACTGTTATACCTGGCCACAGTCACTTCCTTTTTTGCTCAGCAATGTATGTACTACTTATAAGCCACTTAAAGACAGATTAGTAATTGATACTTATACAACTATTTTGATTTTTTTTCCCCTTTAAAGACTTACCTCCCAGTGCTATGATGTCTTGACTGACTTACCCTGGGTCTTGTCCTAATCAATGGAATCTGATACCCTGTTCATTTACATACTGTCTGGATGCCTGTAACAATACCAGTACTTCCTGACTACAGTCCACTAAAGGTCTATCAGGAAACTTTCTGAAAAGGCTGCCCCGCTCCTGGTCTCCTGCAGTAGTCTCGGTAGCTATAACACACAATCCTCCATTTTAGGAAGCACTGTAAATCTGACAGCCATGATTACAAGTAAGGCCAGAGCAACTTCATAATGATGGGGGTGGAGCCACTTACACTCTATCCTCTCACGCAAACAGCATTGGCTTTATTCAATGCTGGAATGAAATGTCTCAGTTCAAACTAGGGCAACTGACTCTGCAATTCGCTTGATAGGTACACAGTGAAAGTATGAAACAAACAAGGGCATTAATGAGATGAAGTTAAACTTTTTATTCTGTATACTTATACTGAGATCCAGGAGGATGAATCCTGAACAAAACCATTGGATACTGTTTTAAAAAGCCAGCAGAATTTATGACTAACCCTTTTAACATTTTTGTGTTATGTATATGCCCAATACTATCTAAAATTAGGGGAGATCCTTCAAATAGACATCTATTAAAATACACAATCAACATCTAGTCATTTTGCTCTCAAAAAACAACAGAACCCCTTTTCAGTGGTTTCTAACATCAGCTTTTTTTAAAAAAAAAAAAAAAAAAAAAAGAGAGAGAAAGATTTCTTAAAAATGAAGGAGCTTTACTATCTTACTTATGTTGAGCCCGCATGTGACATCTTTGGTTAGTAATCTATGCCAAGATGCTACCCAAATATAGCAATAATCTTTTAATCTCTCTATAAATTCTAAAGCATCATTTCATTTGCCAAAATCTGTTCCTAACCTTTGGACCCTATGTAAATGCATGTATTTGATGTTGTGTCCATTGACCCATCCTCCTCATGTCTACATATCCCCAACTGCGAAAAGCAGTCAACTCCAAACTCTTTTCATGGCATCAACTATAAGGGGAAAATAAATACTTTTTGAGCAAGTATATACAGTGTGTGTACATATGTGTGTGCATTTATTTTCAAGTTATACAAATGTATATAATATTATGACAAAACAGCATAAAACAAACACAAAAGAGAAATATCAAAGGAGGTAAAAATAAAACAAACGATTTTTTTTTTTTTTTTGAGGCAGAGTCTTGCTCTGTCGCCCAGGCTGGAGTGCAGTGGTGTGACCTTGG